CATTAACAACTTATTAACTTTTGTCTTCTATATGTAATAATCTCATATTGTCATCTGCCTATATACATTTGAGCTTGTTTTTATCACCAGGTGCTTTTCTTTATACCTAAGTAGTAATAAGTGCATTAGAAACTTTTGATGGTAATGATAATAGTAAAAGCAAAAAAAAAAAAAAAAAGCTTTCACTTATTAAGGATTTATTATGGGCCAAGAACTGTATTTGGTATGTTACTTACACTATCTCCTTTAGTAATAATACTAACAAATACTCTATGAGATAGGTACTTTCATTGCTCTAATTTTATCTGAAAGAACTTTGGCAGGACTAACTAGCTCAATGTCAAACATATATTGATAGGCGGGGAGTATCTCCTTTTTTTGTGAAGACAAAATATCTGTTAAAGAACCATTTTTTTTCTGGTGATTTGGGTTAGTTACCTAAATTCTATGTGCCTGTTTTCTCACTTCCATAATGGCAATAATGAAAAAATTGTTGTGGGCAAAATAATAATGAATTAAAATAAAAGTAATGAGGTAATAGTATATGTAGAATACTTAGTTCATGGCACAATGCAAGCACTCACCATATTTTAAGTAACATGATGATGATGATGATGATGACGATGATAACAACTCCTTTACCTTTGACTAATCTTAGCTGCAGAACCCATGGCTGAGTATGAGCTGAAACTATCCCTTGTATGTGCATGTTATTTCAATATAGATGAGTGATTAGACCCAAATGTGAAACACACTGATTCTTTATTCTTTCTTGATTAATTAACTTATGCTTTTTAAACAAAGACTTGTTTATTATACTGTACACAGAACAATTTGCACATCCAGAATCTCATATGATGCTCGAAATGACCTGGTGATCCCACACTTTACTAATAAAAAGCAGAGACTCAGAATAGTTATGGGGCAAGTTTTGAATCACAGAACATCAAGAGGCAAAGATTAAACCAGAGCCAGTTTTCTGATTCTGCCCATGATTTTTCAGTACACCAATCTGTTTGAATTATGGAAAATTCACTAGTGCTCTGTTCTCATTGGCCTCATGTAACTTTTAATTTCAAACTATTTCTGGATGCAGATGCTTTCTTCTGGTTCTTAATTAACTTGAAATGTCATCTAATGGAGTGTTGTTAACCTCTGGCCTCAGGCTCTGATGACTCTTGCCAACCTTTCATTTTCCTTTCCCTTTAAAAATTATTATTCTATTATTACAGGATGTCTGGAAAATAGAAAAAAAGTCCAACTCCCATGTATTGCCACTCTTCAACTCTGGTTTTCTTTTTCTTTTTTTTCTCTCTCTTCCTCCCATTCATTCCACAAACATTTATTGACAAACACTGACAATTTCTGACATGCTAAGTATTCTACTAATTGCTGGGAATAAAAAGAAACACTAATTGGATTTCTAAACATGTTCTTTGATCTTTCTACTTCCTTTCTATCTCATTCCATTAATAGAATTTTTCTTGGAATTATTTAAATTACATTGCTAAAACATATTGTTATTTCAAACTAATACAAAAACAACATTTTCACACATATAATCAGCTACAATTATCTTTTCCACCCAGCTACCTTAATTAATGAGCACGATCATATGCATTTGGTTAACATTATCTTTTAGCTTTTTTGCATCTGAGTCCCTGTGTAATCTTTTCAAATTCACTTATCTACTAATCCATTGAATCAAAATGAACAATCTTTTTTAAAACTAAGTCTTATGGTCTACATTTCACAATTATTCTGTTATCTGTAAAAATTCCGCCCATTTATTTCTCAGAACTTTATGAATTGACTAGCAGTTTAAGGCCAAAGAGAACCATAGAGGTAAACATTGCATTTCTATATCATACCAAAGTCAATTAAGAGTTGTGCTTCTCTGTAAGTCTGTTTGGTCTATGCTGTTTACATAAGGGGCCTATCAGTCATGTGGGTGAAACAGGCCCAATATTCATGCCGCTTCCCTCAAATCTGGAGGTTTTCACTGTTCCCTCATCCTCTTCCAATTCTCATGTACAATTCTTGACATTTCTCTATTTCAATAATAAAATCTTGATCCAGATCTAGAGCACATCTCATTTAGAACTTTGCTGTACTGTAATGGATCTTACAGAGTGATTCTCATTGTATGATAGTACTGATATCAGTTTATTCATTTTATAGGAAGAAACAAATAAAATAAAAACAAAAAATCTTAAATGACCAATCCTAGACCTATTTTAAGCTTATAACTCCTAATCCTCTATGAATAAGATTAAACCATCCCTTAAGTATTTGTAGTGAGATATACAGTATGGGTAGGTTTGGATAGGGCCAGAAAAATTTCTCCTTTGTAATTATAATGTCCTTAAGAAAAAAATGAAATGTGTTCTGTTTTCCTAAGCTGTCTAGTAATCATGCAGTCAGCCATACGGGCTATTGCTTTACTGAATTTATTCCTCACTTCAATAATGTAAAGTGTGGTGACATTGGAAAGAAAGTTGCATAGTATATCTTTTACTTGGTAATAACAGCAAGAAACTCAATCTAATTCATGAGATAGAAAAAAAAGCATCATGACACATTATCTCTAAAGAAATGGCATCTATTACAAATGTAATATATTAGTCTTATGAGAAAAGCTCTAGCCTTGGAAAGTACAGTACTTTAGTGTACACAGCAGCATATATTGTCATATATGAAGTATGATACAGAAGAAACAGTCAACTCACTCATTTTATACTGCACTGATCAGACATTTATTTATACACTATAAAAAATTCTGTGTTCTAGAACTAAAGGACTTTATAGGAAGCTTAAAGTAGATCAAATCAATTAAAGGATTGAAACTAAGCTGTAGAAGGGAAGATAAAATGAGCTGTGCTTATTTGGTCTAGAAATGTAGACTTAAGTTTTCTTATGTCCCTTTAGGCTTTTTATATTTCCACTGAGGGGAAAAACCACATAGAACTGGAAATAGGCTGCAGCAATAGAGATTTAGGTTGGATAGAAGGAAGAATGTCTAGATACATAAGGTTCTTAAACTGACCCCAGTGGAGGAGGTATGTAAAATCACCTCTAAAAGTCATTGGTTGGGATAGTTTTATTATGACACCATTTGAGTACAAGGATATGAAATAGACTAGCTCTTTCCTAGCCCTAATTTTTAAGAAACAATTTTAAAGTTAATATAATTATTAGCATATGGATTGATTTTCTTGGCATAAGCATACAATGTAATAACTGCAAAAAAGTTATTCTTTTAAAGTGTTAATAGAAGGCATATTAAATCTTTTCAAGAAAACTTTTGCATTTGAGAAAATTGCATTATTACTAAATTTGATTTTTTTAATCATGATTTTTTCCCATATAAGTAACAGTAGTTGCAGGTTTAAGCCTCCCATCCTTTTTTTGTTTTAAGAGAAACTCCAATTTTCTGTCTGCAAAGTAACCTTCTACTTGACATATTCATACTTCATTATGCATAATTATTATTTGAAAGAAAGATGATGTGGTGTAAGATATCTCAGCTACAAATCAGGACACTGTGGTTCTGCTGCCATCTCTTTTACTAGCTAGCAGTGTGACCTTGGATAGGTCACTTTGAATGCCATTCCTCAGCTTTGTTGTTCAAAACTTTAAGACAGTGTCAGAAGAGGTGATCTCTTATCTTCTTTCCTTCCCTGAAAGTCTATGCAGGGATTTTATTAAATCATAATTTAGATAAGTCAATATTTTATTTTTGACATATTTAAAATGAAATAAATTCTTTCCTCATATTTTAAAAGTCAAAATAACTTAAATAGTTAATGAATAGTTAAAATTTGTCAATATAAATTATTCTAGCATGGAATTTAAGAATAAATTAGCTAATGGTCACCTTGTCCTATAAATCTTATGACACTGAATTTCGTATTATCTAACTGTCAATATAGCTCTCCATCTTTCATTTATTTATTTGTTTATTTTGTGTTCATTTAGTATCATGGATATTTGTTTCCTTCATATACCATTCCATATTATTTCTATAAAATGATGATTTTATTCTAAATATGCATAAATAGAACAATATGTCATGCAGAAATCAATACTATTTCATTCATTACCAAATTTCTTTCCTAATATATTGTACATTTAAATATTTAAGATTACTTCAAAGAGATTATAGTCCAGTGGAAATGTAAATATATGATTATATGAAGTAAGGACATGTAATCAGTTTCCGTATGATTGCAGTGATTTCTGGCTGCTTTAAAATAGCAATAAGGAGTGCCAGTGTCATTGAAAATTACTTCAATTGTTCAAAATATTTACACAAAATATGACCTGAGCAGTGACTCCTGGAAAATTAATATTCATCAAATCCAATTCTGATATTTAATTTTCTGAAACTCAGATTAACTACTAGTTAGGATGGAAATGATTTCTGAAATTTCACATGTTTAGTTGTTTTTTTCTTAATGAACATTTTAAGCTGTACAGGAGCAGCTTGACATGTGGTTGAAACTGGTTTGGGGAAATAATGAAGAATCCAATCTTCATAGTTTTAAATGAGACATAAAATATTCTTTGGAAGCTGATTATTAAGAAAAGTTACTTTAGTGCTTTCTACTCTCCCTGTTGGCAACAGAAGTGGACTAAGGATTCATTTACACTTCACACTTATATGTGAGAAAATGTATGTGTTTTATATTATGCCATGCAATCAGAAAACTTGTCTTACAGATCAATTAATCAATAAGTTAAAATAGAAATGGATCAAAATAAAATCTTTATGGAGGAAAAAAGCAAAATCTATATGGAGCCTATTTTAGAAATGACATTTTGCTAAAACAATTTGACTCACAGTTTTCTACTTACTAAATAAACATTTTCCACTCCTGATTTTATGGCTCTAAAACCTAGGAAGTCACCAACTTGGTGCACGATGCTAATATTTATCTTAATCTTTCTGCCTGTTCAAAGAGCACCTCAAAGTAGAAAGAGAGTCCATAACGTCTTACCTAGACATCGAGGAGCTGAAACGCCAAGGCATGACACTGTTCGACACTCTGGCTAGGAAAGAAGTCCGTCCCTCTTAGTTTCTCCAAAATCTAAGTTCACATTTCGTGGTTGAGATCATGGCTCTATTCTGAGCAGTTTTACGCAGTGTGTGATTCTAACAAAAACACCCTCTGCAGCTGGAAAGAACCTTAGCTAACGCAGGATCCTGTCAAGGCGTTCCTAGTGACTTCTGTCTACTAAATTCAGACTGATGTTTTGCGAAAGGGGCCTCCACAACCAGACCCAGATTGCCTGGAAAGTATTTCCTGCCTCTGAGGAGCGTGCATGTGAGAAAGCCTGCACCAAGCAGAAGGGAGGGGGGAGAGAGCCCAGCGCCTGGGCGTTTTAGGAGTTCTGATTTTACACAGAACTCAAGTGAGTTTTGTCAAAGCTCTTGAGGTGATTAGCTGGAGAGTCATAAAGTCCTAGAGCTTTTTCGATCCCACACTGCTTATGAAAAAAAAAATGAAGAAGAAAGAAAACATAGTTCTCTCCCCATCCACCCACATTCTTTCCACTATATTAGATGTATATATACAGCTTAATCAAAATACCTTTGCTAGTTCTCATTTCAAAAGATCCTTCAAAAGAACAAGATGAATTTAGACCTTTAATACCATAATTCTTCTAAATTTTCAAACCTTTTTTTCACATCACTTAAAATGTAAAATGCTGCAGCCTTACATTTTGTATCTGAGAAAATCTGTAAGCAAAATCCCACAAATCCAGTAAATATAATGTTTTCTTCCAAATCTCTCCCATCGCAGAATTCTTCACAGAATTAAAGGAGTTTGTGTTATGGCATATGCAGCATTACCTCCAGTCAGAATCCTCCAGAGTTACACAGATCCAGTGCTGGAAAAGCAGGAGACAGACTCCATCTTGATCATATTAGAGTCTTGCTGACATTAAACACTTGCAACTACTTCCATCTAGCATGACAGGGTCCCTGAATCACATCTCTAAAGCTGCTCACAGTATCTGCATCCTTCGTCCGAAACAAATTTTGTGAACTATCATCTGTTTATCTTTCCTGCTTTCTTGTGCCTCCACGGGATGACTTCCTCCTAGCTGCTCTAGGCTGGGAACTTGGACTCTCATTTGGTTTTGATTAAAACCAGACAGCCAACTCTGGAGAATTTAGGGAATAAGCTAATGGAAACTACAAGTATGGCTTTAATTAGCGCATCAATTAATAATAGATGTTAGCTCGTCTTATAATAAGATGTCACATCTACAAATGCAGAAGAAGCCCAAGTCGTTTCAGGAAAGAAGTTATACCAATTCTCATTTCTTTACATCCCACAATTCTCTTTAGGGAATGTGGAAGGAAAGAAGAGGGACGTGGCCTTGGAACATCCAGGTTGCCGAGACGCCAGTGGAGTGGCTTCATTGTTTATACCAGAGAAGCAGGAAACAGCATCTCTGACTTTAATTATCTTGCTTGGTGGAAATTGCTCAGTCATGTCTCCCTTTTACTTTATTTACAATCAATGGATTCTATTGCTATTTATGACATAAGCATTTTTTTCATTGATTGGTGATCAGATTAATCTAGTTATTGGCTCTATATGTGGCTTGCAAATTTCTAGAAGTTTTCAATAATGATACTTGCAAGAATAATTACAATTCTGATATGATAAATGAGTAACATATAAAGAGGTCCAAGAAATATTAAGCCTGTTTGCCATATAATTCATCCTGTTCTTCTCTGAAATTATAAGCAGTTTTCATTGTTCACATTTATTCTGTCTCTAGATATTACAATGGCCTCTCTCTCTGAGAATACTGGGAAGATAATAACTTGAAGTATGATGTTATAGCTACTACTTCTTTTCTTATTGGATAACTAAAACCTCTCAAAATTAATGCAAAGTATGAACTATACTAGACACATGTTACATGGTAGGAATAACTTATACTGTGCATGAGTTTGAAAATGAGAGGTATTCAGATAAAAACATTTGGGAAGAAGCAGTTTTTAAAAGTTTAAATCAAAACCTTAACTGATTTAAAAAATGAGCATTTAGATTTCTTTAATTTAACTTTCATCCATATGCCAAGAAGGAAGTCCATTCTTTCATAAATTCTTTAAATAGTATTTATATTCCTATTCATAGTATTTCCAGCAACACTCTTCACATTTAATCTTCCCAACAATTTTTTGTGTTCTTTTTATTTTAAAAATAAAGTATTAGGACATAATTTTCTCACTGTCAAATGATAGAAAATGGCCAAGTCCATATTAAAACTCAGATCTTCTAACTCTAAGTTTAATGCTTTATTTTTTCCTCTATAAACTATGTCTCTTCCCCTTAATTACTATGTGAAATTGGGAAGACTTCTTAAACTCTCTGAGTTTCAGATTCCTCTCTAAAAATAGAACCAATTCCACATTACTCACAGATTGGAAAGCAGGATTAAATTTATACATAAATATTTACATATTTATATTTTTTCCCTAAGGAAAACACTGAAGCAGAATGGAATGAGAATTGATATAACTTCTTTCCTAAAATAACTTATATATCTCTATCTCTATCTCTATCTCTGCTTCTAGTCCTGATATACATACAGTGGTTGCTCAATATTATATTAACACTCTGCTAATTCTTATTAGCTAGATTCTTTTTATGAATACTATACCACTTTATATAATTTAACTTTGTTTCTATTTATATTGGCCAGAGGAAACAACAAAACTCTGTTCATATACATTTATAAAATGTCTTTTTAGATACCAAGACACTCTTATTGGTAAGTTTCTCCTTATCATTCTTTTCTCTAAACAAAAAAGACTTCATGTTTTATTCTATTAATAGAAAGATTTCTTCTTAAATCTTTAATTATTCTTATTTATTTTTCATCCTTCGGTTGCCTGACTCCAAACAAATCTCAGAAATTATAGTCTTATAAAGGCTTTACCAAATATAAGTATGAAGATAAATAATGAAATAACTTCCTAAGTACTTAATACTGTGCCAGGCACATTGAAGGAGTTCAAATTATTTGTTTCCTTCTATTTGTAAAGCTAAATACCTTACTCCATTAAATGTTGCATATTACTCTATACTAGATTAGCTAATAAAGAATGATATAGAAGCAGTTAAGAACTTGAAATTAAAGTATCAGGTTAGGAGTCTGGCTCCAAAAACTAACAAGCATTGTGACTTGTGTGAGTTACTTAACCTGAATAAGAATGTTTTAGCTCCAGTAACTAAGAATTTAAAAAATTAGAGTAACTAGTGTATGTGAAGCCATTAGACATTATGGCCAGTATAATGTTCATTATTAGCTAGAATTGTTTGTACCATTTAAATTACTGCCCTTTTTGATCTTTACATCTTTCTTTTGGGTGATATTTTTAGAATCTATCTATCTATCAAATTCTAAATTAAATGAGTACATTTGGAACAATTATATTTGTGGAACAATTATGTGTTCTGTGGGAAGAAAAGAGCAGCAGATGATTAAGCTTTATTTTGAAGATCAACTTTCTTCCCATGGACTTTTATCTAAACAGTAAACATTGGCTGTGAGTGTTTCTTTAGTCATTCCCCAATCTTTTTGAGGAAATTTGAATCTGAACTTCTTTTACAGAATCGTTCAGTGTCTCTAATGTAGTTCAATAACACTTTGTGCAAAACAATATTTATCCTTTGAAAATGATGTTTTACTCTTTTATGAAATAAGTAGCAAACATCATTAATTAAGTACTCATATTCAGCATTTGTGATATTCTGAGTGGAATTTAGCTTTTATTTTTTTCAATTTTTGTGAAGGAATAATTTTTATAATAGTACTGAACTTGAAATTAGTATATAGAGAGAATAAATATCTTTCAAGTATTTTAACGTGTACACATGTGAACAGTTAGTATAATAAACATAGGAACACTTTGCCCTTGAACATTAATCCCCTCCAAATCTCCATTTAACAATTTTTCTTGTAATTTATTGAAATTACCACATGTACATTAAAGCACTAAAAATAGAATTTATTTGGGCCAGGCATGGTGGCTCACACCTGTAATTCTAGCACACTGTGGGAGGCCAAGGCAGGAGGATCACTTGAGGTCAGGAGTTTGAGACCAGCCTGAGACCCTGTCTCTATTAAAAATGGAAAAATTAGCCGGGTATGGTGGTATGTGCCTGTGATCCGAGCTACTCGGAAGGCTGAGGCAGGAGAATTGCTTGAGCCCAGCAGTTTGAGGTTGCTGCAAGCTAGGCTGATGCCACGGCACTCTAGCCCAGGTGACAGAGAGAGACTCAGTTTCAAAAAAAAAAAAGAAATAGAATTTATTTGACAGAATTTCTAGTTTATTTTTTCAGTCATTTTTACATGTGCTTTCTTTAAATAAGTTTACCTCAAGACTCATTCAGGCAAGAAAAAAATATATAATTTTGTAGTTTATATTTAATGATTTTCATGTGCATTCGTTTTTTGATCAGCTTTCTCAAAATCTTGACACCCCACTTTCCTAACCATTTACTATTCATCTGGAAGTACTTATTAAAAGAACACACTTAAGTTTCATGTTAAATTAACAAAAGTAGCAAAATCATATAAGCTCTCTAAAATCAATGAAGCCTGTTTCTTGTACTCTTTATGTTCATCAGTCCTCTTTATTGAAAATTATTACAATCCAACAATAGTTATGAAGAAAAAGATATCTTGATAAATTCCAAATGACATAGAAAAAAATAAATTTAGCAAATAAAAACAAACAAGCAAACAATAAACCCCAGAAACTTATATTGGCACAGATAGTATGGTGTATATGATCTTAGAAGTTTATGAGTCTCATTGTCTGTCCAGAGGGCTATGATACCTTCAGAAGCACAAAGATTCCAAGCCTCACAAGATGACATCTGTGTGTGCCCAGAAAGTAGGAGCTGAAGCTCTTCCCATGTGAGGCAAATATTCCTTCTATGTGAATACTTAAGCTAAAATCAGTCTGTGCTACCCTCCAACCACTCTTGTTAAGTTCTCTGAAATTCTTATTTCATGCCCCCCCCAAAGTCTATTAAAAAAACATTCTCTGCCTATGATTGGCTTAGAACCCACACTCTCACTAGCTCCTCCTATATCTCTTTCAAATGAGACCACACATTCTCTGCTACATCCTCTGCTCACCTGGGAAAAAAAACTGAAAATACCTCCCTTTAGACTCCTCAAGGGATGTCCAGATTCCTTCTCCCTAGTAAAAGCTCTGCTCCAGTTAAATATCTACCCTTCCAGATACATTCTAACTAGCTCATTTTCCCAAACTGTACTCTGCAGTACAGGACAAC